CCAAACCTGGAAACAGGGTTGCTATGTGAACCCCACCCCCACTCAACACCTGTTGGTGGCTGATTCAAATTTATCTTCAAATGTGCTAAGTGGGCCCCACAAAAAAGCATCTCTGAAATAAAGCCCAGTCAGCTTGCTCGTGTTCCGATGTGGATTCGGGGGGCGGGGTGGGTGGAAGCACATACTCCGTGTATTTCTCCTTACTCTTCCCAATTCAGGGCACACGGCTGACTTGCAGGTTCCAGAGGGGATTGTCTGGGCACCGAAGCCTACTTTGCCTGCCTAGGGGGTAATCGGGACCTGCCAGAGAAGTGACACCCCCAGGTTCAGCCTGTGACCCGTGAGAGTTGGAGGACTGGGTATAAATAAATAAATAAGAGAGCCTGGTGGTCCCCCGGTACCAGGAGGCGTTACCCCTGGACGAAGCAATATCTAGGGTCCCTCCTGCAGGCAAGGGTCTTGGGGACCATTTTCCAGCCAGTGATGCAGAGACAGAGAGCAGCTGCATGACAAGAAATTCCCAGGAGATGAAGAAGAGCTCTTTAAGATGGATTTTGAGAGGCTCGTTATCTCAATGATGTGATGGAGACGAGGGATGGGGAGCTGCCCTCTCGTGTCAATGTCGCGTGGTGACTGTGGGCATCTTATGGGCCAGAACTACCGGGCTAGGAAGGAGAGGCCCAGAGATGGGAGAGGGGGCGGCGAGAACACGGGAGCCTCTTTGGTCCACCCCTCAAGGGTTCTTCTTCCAAAGTCTCCCTTGCATTTCAACAGCGGTTCCCTCCCCTGTCCTTTGTCCAAATGGGGTTCAGTTGGAAAAAGAAAAAAATGAATATCTTCAAATTACTACTTCCTTCCTGCCAAAGGATGCCCTAAGCAGATCCAGTAGAGTGAGATCCATGCAATGCAGACCCAGCCCAGACGCTGTGGGAGGTTAAACCACCCTTCCTCCCATGGGGGGACCCATGGGGGGCTGCCTCCACCCACTGAGAGCTGTATCACTTTTCTAACTTGTCCGGCCAGAGGAGGTACCTTTCTAGAATTCATCCCCCGTATTATAATCTGAACAAAGCTGCTGTGTGGGCTAGCAGCCCTGTTGTGTGCAAATGGACTTAACTCGATTCTTAGGTTTCTTACACACCCAGCCCTCACCTGGTCTTAGGACCCCAATGCTTTCATAGATTTGCTTTTCTGATGCTGGAAGCCAGTTACTTCCCCCCAAAAAAACTTCAGATCCCCCAAGTTGGCAGTAACCCAGATGGAACTCTACTGGGGCCTGATCACCCAGCCATCTCTACCAAAGAATTAGGTTAAGATGTGTCTTCTGGGCTGGGGTGGTGGCTCGGTGGTGGAGCACTTGCCTAGCATGTATGAGGCGCTGAGTTTGATTCTCAGCACCACGTAAAAATGAATAAGTAAAATAATGGTATTGTGTCCATCAACCAGTAAAAAAAAAAGTTGTGTCTTTGAGGCAATGAAGACGCTTCGTTCACTAGACAAGACTTACTGAGCATCTATTCTGCGCCAGACATGAGTGCAAATTGGGACGGAGCCTTGTACTTTTTGGGCCCCTGTGTTCAACAAGCTCCCTGCCCAGATGGAGAGAAGGGTAATCAAAGAAGTAGGTACCCCTGCTGAGTGACAGCAGCATAGCACACAGATGGCACTCATTTTTGAGCGAGTGAATGGATGGAAGATTGAATGAATGAATGAATCTTTAATTAATAAACTCCAGAACATTGTTCTATCCTGATCTGGGAATCAAAGACGGTGATGTGAGACCTAGAGGATGAATAAATAAAGTCATGTCAAGTGGGAGAGAGAGGAAGAGTGTTCTGGAAAGAGGAAATAGCATGTACAGATGGCCTGGGGTTGGGAGAGCAAGCCGTGGCAGAACCAAGAACACCCCCAATTGGTCAGCTTGGGTTGTGGGAGCCAGGGTGGGAGTGGTGGAAGAGTGGAGGTCTGTGAAATTTGCAGAGCTGGTTTATGAAATAGGCAGGCCTGGGTCATAAGTGACATTGTGATCTGTGTCAAGGAATTCTGATTCATCCCAAGATACGGGACCTTTAAACGAGCAGGAGAGGTTGGTATTTTTCTGTCAACCCGATGAGGACGTTTCAGCAGTAGATTTATCTCTGTTTTCGGGTGGGGACAGGAAGCATGATGGCGTGTAGCATTCTAAGTTCCAATGGGGAGTCCCAGAAAACATCCTTGTGAGTTGGGGATGTGGGGTTGGGAGTGGGAACCCGGCCAACCAAGGCCCCTTCTATATCCACCAGCTTTGGGGGACCTCACACTCCAAGTGCCTACTCATGGAGACCCAGGATGCACCAGGAACAAAGCTTTGAAACTAGTAGCCAAGATTGGGAATGAGCACCCAGGAAAGACCCAGCCTGGTGTCCCCAAGTAGCAGTCCCCTGCCCTTGAGTCATCTTCCAGCCTCATTCCCTCTGAGATGGGCTGGGCCGAGTCACCATCCCCCAGACACCCACATCCCGGAGGCAAAGTTTCCTTGAACCCACCCCAGACCAAAGCCCAGGCCCCAGGGTCTAGACACCCGGCATGGTTCTTGCTCATTGCTGACCAAGGAGATGAAATACACACGACACCGTGTCACCCAAGCTTCAAACCAGAAGCCAGGTAGAAGGAACCGAGAGGGGTCAGGGTCTCTGCATTATTTTAAAGAAGTTCTCCACCTGGGCAAACTTATTTTGAGTTTCCACCTCCAAAACAAAGCTAGCCAGGTCGCCAAGATGGTAAAGGGGCACTGGGTGGACCTGGGTCAAGCTGGACCTTTGGCTTCCTTGTGTGCTCGTCCTTCTGGGCGAATCCAAAAAGGCAAGCCTGCGTCCCCAGCCCCAGGAGCTGGCATCCTGAGCTGGGGAAGCGGTCCTCTTCATCCTTACCATCCAGTGTCTCTGGGTCACATCGTCATGACCAAATGGTTTTAAGGAAGCTCCTCTCTTTAGGCCCCAGGAGCATGGGGTCAAATGGGGGGGGAGGGGGCAATAATATAGGCTGTGGATGGCGAAGCTACGTGTGGAGCCAAGTGACCGAAGGTCTGTACTCTACCAGATGGTCACAGGTTCATAAATCAACGAACTTAGACAATACGTGTCCTCCTGTCTGGGCAAGCATACCTTCAAGAGGATCTGAAAGTCACGTGGAACTCAGAGTCTTGGGCCCCTCCCGCCAGCAGGGCAGTATGAAGAGACCCCGCCCCCAGGTCCAGGCTCCGCCCTCTGCCTCCCGCCTCTGGCGCCCTCCTCCACCGGGGGATGGGCCTCACACACAGGCCCCTCGATGCCTCAGCTTGACCACCCAGGCTCTATCCAGATAGCCACCCCTGGACAGGAGCGTGCACACTTGTACAAATAGCCTGGGGTTGGGAGGAGCCATGGGAAGACCCTGGAAGGCAGCTCAGGGAGCATTGAACAGAAAAGTCTGGGACTCCCAGGCACCCAGGGAGTGGTGTGGGGAGTGGGGTCCAGGGGGTGCCCTCTCGGCCCCACCAATGTTCCCTCCCAGCTGAGAGGTGATCACCGTGTAGGCCTGGGGCAGGGACCCCTCCTTGTGGCATCCCAGACCTGCCGTGATCTGGGCACAGAAAGAAAACTGGCTCCTCCACGGGTTGCCTTCCCCAGGGCCGGCTGCCCATCTGTCCTTTCCTCCTTCATCTCTCCTAGATCCAAACAGGGTTCGGGGGACCTCTCATCACCCAAGCCCCTCCCAAAGCCCTCCGTGGCAAGCACATGCCCCTCCCCCACCCCCATGTCCCCACAATGCCCACGCCCGGGGCCACTCCCTGTTCTCGCATGCGCAGCCAAAGTGTCCTGATCCAACTTGGGCATGGAGGGACTGACTCGGTGGAACCGGGTGAGGTCCCCTGAATGAGAAAACCTAACAGAATGGATGCCCCCCCCCCAGCCCCCCGGCCCCCACCTGCCACGAGCACCAGACAGTCCCAGACTCCAAGGTCAGGGCCAAGGTTGAGGGTGTGCAGAGAGGTGTGTGTGTTTTCTTGTCAATTGCGACTCTGATGATGATGGACTCACGTTGCCCGCTCTTCCCTTTCTCTTACACCTTACCTACTAAAGGAGGAGTTCTTGCTTGGTAAGTGGATATGATCCGCAAAGACATGAGCGAATTTATTAGAAGCCACTCAAGATCCTTAGCTACCTTCTCCAAGGGGAAAAGGACACACACAAATACCTGTAGAGACCTTTGTTTATTATTATTTTTTTTTTAATTTGTTTTCAGTCCGACTAATTGACTTACTTTTTTTTTTCTTTTGGCCCTCTTTTCCCCTTTAGTTGAAAACTGCTCAAATGTCAATTTGTGACCTTGACTTTATATTTAAAAAAAAAAAAAAAAAAAACTTCTCATCTTTAATTTATTTCTTTTTTTTTTCCCCCATGTGACATTTGTTCAGGGTTCTATGCAGGCAACTTTTTTAAAAAAATAAAAAAGAAGTTACATTAATTGAGGATTTGGTTGAAGCTTGAACTTTTGACTTTATCTCCTTTTTATGTTTATTTCCAAGATTTATTCCCCACCCCCACCCCCAGGCCCATAGCCCCTCCCCACCCCCATTTCTTTTCCCCCCTTCCTCTTCTTTAATTTTGTATTATTGCTTTAGGTTCAGGGTGTCTACACCCCCCTTTCGATTGAGTTGTCTCTTTTGTTTGAGTTTAAAATTCATTAGAAATTAAATTTTGTATAATTTCCTTTTACTTTCGTTTAATCTGGATCGCATGCTTTTTCTCTGCATGATACCTAAATCTTCCAGTTATCATAGCAGGGGGTAAAAATATATATATATATATCTCTATCTATCTCCTTTCTGTGGTATTCTTTCAGGAATTTGTGCTTTTGTTTTTTTGGCGTCTCTCTCCTCTCTTTACTTTGGTCACAGTGCATCATGATGGTAAACATTTCTTGGTAATTGAGACGCAGCCCCGGGCTCAGCCGTGTCCGATGGGTCTTTTTGCTTTCAGATCACTGGGTCGGGGTCTGCCGCTGACCCGTTTACCAAAACAGCCAGCCCGCTCGCCACCTCCCGAGGACGGTCCCAGGAGTATGACTCCGGCAACGACACGTCCTCCCCGCCCTCCAGGCAAACCAGCTCAGCCAGGTCCCGGGGCCAGGAGAAGGAGAGCCCCCGGGGAGACCTGAGCAAGAGCCAGGAGCTCCACAGCGGGAACACCTCGGATTCAGGGAACTCCTTCACCACCTCCTCTCCCCAGAACAAGGGGGCTGTTCTGGAGAATCTCTCTCCCACCAGCAGGGGCAGAGAGTCAAGGTCAGTGCATTTGATTGGGAGAGACATCCTCCCCCATAAGCTTCACCTTCTCACCCTCTCATCATAGCACCCCAGCCTCTTCCCAGAAGCGTTGGGAAACTCAAACTGGCTTCCTGACTTACTTTTTGAAAATTCCAGAAGAAATTAACTTCAGGTATAGCTAGATCCAGGGGCTCAAAAAAATATATCATTGGGAATATCTTTTGCATACAGTTCTCAGCTCTTGCTTCCATGATCTGGTGGCCTCAATTTCAAGCAGACCCCCCCCCCCAGAGCATGGGCAAATATACTGAGCAGCTAACATTATCTAGCAGATTAGCCAGCCAATGGGGGGAAATGCTTCTTTCCCCCAAAAATTTAGCAAAACATCAGGAGAGATATTTTGCGGCTTGGCCCAGTTTAGATTATTTGCCCACCCCTGGATCAGTCACTCTGGCCCAGGGGATGTCATACTCTTAGCTAGAATGGGTCACATGCCACAGCTGGGACCAGTGAAGACGTCCATCCCAGGTACCCTAGCAGGAAAAGTCAAAATATTGCTATCAGGAGGGAGGGAGGCTGGGCAGGCAGAAAACAGATGTCAGCTTTACCAATAATCTCAGCAGCAAGTCAAACATGAGCTTCCTTGTTAAGTCACCGTCATTTAAAAAACATACCACAATATTTACCCAGTGAAAACATACACAAAAACCTGCCTGTGGATGTTCATAGAGGCTTTATTCATAATTGCCCAAACTCGGAAGCAATCCAGGCGTTCTTGAGTATGGGAATGGCTAAGCGTGGCACCCAGACAATGAAGCCGTTTTCATCGATAAAAAGAAATGAGCCGCCGAGCCATGGAAAGACATGTGAGATTTAAATAGATGTTACCCAGTGAGAGAAGCCGATCTAAAAAGCTGACATATTAGATGAGTCCAACTATACAACATTCTGGATAGGGCTAAACTGTATGAAGAAAGTAAAAAGATGAGTGGTTGCCAGGGGTTGAGAAGGGAGAGATGAACAGGCAGGTGTATTTTAGGACCATAAAATGATTCTATATTATGATACAACACAAAGGGATAAGTGGGCATCCTTCATTTTTCCAAACCTATGGCTTTCCCAGCCCTCCTGCAGCTGCCCCGTTTAAAAAGGAGTGAACCCTCACGTAGACTGCGGACTTGGATTATAATGCATGTCAAGAGTCACTCCTAACAAGTGTACCAATCTGGTGGGCGATGTTGGTGGTAGGAGTGAGGCACAGGTGGAGGAGGGGGCCTCTAGGAATTCCCTGTACTTTCCAGTCAATTATGCAGTGCACCTAAAATGGCTCTAAACATAAAGTTGATCCATGAAAAACACATGCACATATAGAGAGAGATCAATCACAATACAATTTTAGGTAGAAGCTTAAAAAAAAAAAATTCAGCCCATCTCAACACACTTGGTAGATGCAATTTTTTTCCTGCAGAAAACACTTCATACAATTGTGTCTGAGCCAATTGTAATGGCCTGGCTTCATCACACCCTGGATCTCAAGAAATCACAGCAAAATGCTAATCACCGAGGATACTGTCACAATAATAGCCACTGAAATCGACTGACCGTTTAGTCTGCACTGACCATGAGGTTATTTATCCCTCGGCTTGTTCCCATGTACTCACTTCCTGAAGGCCACACACTCAGCTTGTCCATGGGGACGTAAAAATGGTGGGTCCTTTTTATTGGCGCTGCAGGAGGGCTGGGAAGGCTTTGCTGGTGCACCCAACCACCCAGCAGTGAGATCTTCCCTTCTCTGGGGGATGGGAGTCTGCCTGGTTCAAAGTGGTCAGGGTTACCAAAAGATGGCCAAAATCTTAGCACAGAAGTGATTAACAGCTTCCTCAAGGACAGAGCACCCTTGGTCCCCAACGCATCACCTGCTTCAGCCCTGGACAAACAACTTGGCATGTACATGAGGACCTGGGCTGTCACTGGCTTGCTCTAGGATATCCCTGGCCTTAGCTCACACCCAGCTCGGCCGGGAGCCAGAGCTGGGTCAGAGCAAATGTCAACTTCTCCAAGAACAGGCGGTGAAGTTCCCAGATGGGACAGGGCAGCCCCGTGTCATGTCTGCTCATACACACGCAGTGCTCTTATGCAAGAAAAAGTAAGCAAAGCAATAACAACAACAATAATAAAAATGATGGCATTTAATGTTTATGAAGCCCTAACACATGATAGGTAGTATGTTGCAAAGTGCTGTCCGTGAATAATCATCCTTAGTTCCTCATTGACCCTTTCAGGGAGAGGGAGTATCATATGTATATTTACTGATGGGGAAACGGAGGCTCAGAGTGGTTGAGAAACTTGGTTGACACTTGGCAGCACTAATATTCAAATACAGATCTGTCTCCGGAGCTGCAGTAGAGGTCTGAGAGACACCTAGCAGTTACCTGCTTAATTGGATCTACATGAACTGCCAAATTAAATAATTTAGACCCAGCCTTTCACTTTGAAATATAAATGGTGGTTAAAGCCACTGCTATTTGGGTTAGGCCAGCTGTGGGCAGAGGTCTCAGTTCAGGGAGCCATAGACACGGGGGTTAGGGAGCTGGAGAGGTGGCAGGGACGTGGGCTTTGGAGCTCTGAGTTTGGGACTACAGGTGGCCTTGAGCAGGTAATAGGCTTCTGAATCTCCTCCATAAATTGGGGATGATAATAGGGCCAGCTTCATGAGGGTGCTGGGAAGACTGAACAAGGATGTTTTGGAAGAACCCAGGAAGGAAAAGGTTCCAAACCCTCATTCTACAGATGACCTGGGATATGTGCACCAAGCCCCGTGCTAGAGTGGGACATAGTATCCAAGGAAATCTGAGTCCTGTCCCCAAGGGACTCATTGTCTGGGGCAGGAGAAGAGCCAGAGAGAAATGGGGACACTTGGGGAGCAGGAACTATGGAAACACCCTGAGATCGCCCAGCCCTCTCTGGGGCTGGGAGAGTGTCAAGAAAGGTTTTCCATTCTGGGCACAGTGGTGCATGTCTGTTATCCCAGCAACTCAGGAGGCTGAAGCAGGAGTATCAGGAGTTCAAAGCCAGCCTCAGCAACTTAGCAAGACCCTAAGCAACTCAAGGAGACCCTGTTTCTAGATAAAATATTTAAAAAGGCTGGGGATGTGGCTCAGTGGTTAAGCAACCGTGGGTTCAATCCCTAGAACCAAACTACATGGGTATCCCTTGTCCTATAGAAGGCACCTATAAAAATACACACAATTGAAACCCTGTATTTAATTCCAGTTGAAGGTGATTGGAATAATGTATTTAATCCCAGTGAGTTACAGTCGCCTGCCCCAGGCTCTGAGCCTGACTGATGCCTGCTGCTCTCTCTTGGGGAGATCACAAAGTGTTGGAGAGGTGTTAAAAACCCACTCCCACCTAGCCTGGTCTTTCTCATCCATGTAATCAGAGGGACTGACAAAGATAAGGAGGAAAATAAACCTCTCACCATGTGATTCGATGTCACTTAGCACCGGTGCCCAAGCTGGGTGACCTCCCAGGATAATAGCATATGCCCAAGTGGCCACAGTGAAATGTGCTCCACACCTTCTATCTCTGCTCCTCGAACATCTGTCACCTGGCAAGTCTTTTCAGGAGGGGAGAAGGTAAAGAAGGTTCTGAGAGAACCTCCCCCCCACCCAGGCCAGGCAAAGCTAGGGGCGGGGCCATGGATCAAGATGCCCCGGGGGGCAGGCAGCTGTGTGACCAAGGACGTTTTATCCTCCACAGAGGATTTCAGTCGCCATGTCTGGAATGTGCGGAGGTGAAGAAGTCCAGCTTGGTCCCCTCCACAGCCCGCAGCTCCCCCATGAAGGAGTGCTCCCGTAGCTCCTCCTACGCCAGCACCCGGTCCTCCAGTCTCTCTTCTCGGTCCCCAAACCCCAGAGCCTCCCCCAGATACACCCGGAGCCGATCCACCTCCTCTGAAAAAAGGTGAGTGAGGTTTTGACCTTCGCTCTGCCACACTTTCCTCCTCGGCAGTGAGTGAAGGTAACTAGAAATTTCCTTTGACCCCCTGGGAAGAGGAGAGAGACAGTTGAGTTCAGATACCAGCCTACCCATCACCAGCTGAGTCTCTGTTTTCCCTTTTGCAAAATGAAAGAATGGACTGTTCTGAGAACTATCAAGCTCTCAGAATGTACCTGAATATAATGGGATATGAGCTGTCATTGTTGCAACTGGCATGAGGATGAGCTAATGTGTATCAGTTAGCTTCTGCTGCATAAAAAAATCCCTGAACTTAGCATCCTTAAATGTATACTCAGTTCCTGGTTCTATGGATCAGCCACTGGGGCTGGGCTCAGCAAGCTGGTTCTTCCGCTCTCCCTGGGCTCTATTGCATTTCTTTGGTCACCTGGTGGGTTGGCCAAAGGCTGGCTGAATTGGATGGCCCCAGAATAACTGTCCCTACTCTATGTTGCCTCTTGACCATCAGCAGGCCTACCTGCCTCCCTGTTCACATGGTGATGGAAGGCTCTGAGAGAAAAAGCAAAGGTGTACAAGGCTTCTTGAGTCCTAGGCTGAGAAGAGACATGACACCCCTTCTGCTATTCTGTTGGCCACAGCAAGTCCTAAGACCAGTCCAGTGCATGGATGCTCCTCCTAGCAGGCAGAGCTGTAAAGTCACATCACAGTGATTAGGATACAGACATAAAAATAGCATGGCCGTTTCGCATTCTACCTCCCAATTTCAATAACCATTGGCAACTGCCTGATTACTCATGCGGGATAATGATATAACAGAATGTACCAGCATGAGATCTCAAGAACTGGGAGATTCCATCCCATCTCACCAACCCATGGCTTCATGGGGTCCAGCTTCCCTAGGGTTCTGGGAGCCCGCAGAAAGCCAATTATTCCTCTTGTTCTGGGTAACCAAAACACCAGTGACTTACTTGGTTATTTCAAGACCACTCCATTCCCCAAAAGGTGGCAAGACTGTTGGCAAAAATATTTAACATGAAAGAGGGACATCAGTGGGACAACAGATCAGCCTAAAAGGAAAATTTAGGAGAACAATACAAAATCAAGTGAAGAGAAAGTTTAAGTCCCTAAGATATTGTGCATAGTTGTTATGGAGAGGGGCCGAAAACGTGACCTCGGAGCTCCCTGGCAAACAAAGAGAAATCGCTCTATTAATTGCTACATTGTTAACCAAAATACTAATACTAATAATAATAGAACCAGTTGCTATTTCTGATTTTAAGTCTATGAAAAATGACTCATGCGACTCCACAGAAAAGGGACACTTTAAGGCACTGTGGATGGAAATGTCCTTTCCAGGTGCCCACCTTCTGTTTTACCTCCACCTCTTGACTGAAACAGAAAATTAGTATCCCTTGTCATCAACAGAAGGCACCGGAAACAATGAGTTTAATCTTAGTTACAAATGATTAGGTTAACACTTTCTGATAATATTTCTCAATGCACAAAAGTCAAGATGTCAAAAACAATTTTCAGGGGCCAGGGCTGGGCATTGGCTTGAGGCACTGAGATTGAATGAGCTATTTCTTCCTCACAATACTCTGCAAAAGTGGGAGGCATCTAGCGCCATGGCTAACACCTGTAATCCCAGCAACTGGGTAGACTGAGGAAGAAGGACCACAAGTTCAAGACCAGCCTCACTGACTTAGGAATACCCTGTCTCAAAATAAAAAAATGAAAAGGGCTGGGGATGAGACTCATCAGAAGAGTATCCCTGAGTTCAGTCCCCAGTACCAAATAAATAAAATGTGGGAGGCATCTGCAGAGAGGGGTGAAGACTGAAAGTAGCATAAGGTTTGCAATTTGAATGAACAATCATATAGAGCATTTTTCCCCTGTCCACAAGGGATATATTCCAAGACCCCCAGTGGACTCCCACCACCACAGAAAAAAATCAAACACTATAATGAAAGAACTTTTCCATTTAACTAAGCACTTCTCATACACTGTGGTAATAACTTTTGCAGTATAAGGTGCAAGAGTAAAACTAGCATGAATTTATTTTTCCCTTTTTTACAATTTTGCAGAGAAGATTTGTCCTTACCATAGGTCTTAACTTACTCAGCATCTGATTTTTTTTCTTTCCTTATTAAGTCAAGAACATTCATCTTCTCACTTAATGGAAGCTCTTTACAGCTTCTCTTTGGCATATCCAAAATGCCAACATCACTCCTCTCCCACTCACGGGCCTTTATGAAGTAGACCCGAGGATTCCTTGAACACAAGCTCTCTCCAGTACCAGGATAGTGAATCTGATGGTGAGATGGCCACCAAGTGATGGGTAGCATATACAGCTTGGATACCCTGGGCAAATGGGATTCACATCCTTGGTAGCCTGGAGCAGAATAGCAAGAGATTTCATCATGACTCTCAGAATGGCATGCAACTCAGAAATTATGAATTGTTTATTTCTGGAATTTTCCACTGAATGGTGGAAAATTCACACCATGGTTGATTGTGGGCAACTAAAACCATGGACAAGAGGGGACTACAGTAGTCTACAGAAGTCAAGAGCATTTTAGAACCAACTAAACCTAGATTCATGCCCTCTACCAGCTGTGTGACCCTGAGCCATTGTATTACATCTCTGTGTTTCTGTCTCCCCACAGCCCAATCTGTAAACAGGATTGAAAACAACACCTAGTCCTAGATTATGTTGAGGATTAAATGAGATACACACAAAGCACTAGTTCAGTGTCTGGTCCATAATGAAATACATAATAATCACAGTTAACATTTCACCTGTTGGCTAATCAACATTTCGCATCCACACCAACATGCTAAGTGATTTACCCAAATTTACTCATTTGATTTGCAACTTCATAGGGTAAGTGCTATTATTGCCCCCATCTTAGAGATGAGAAAACAGAAGTCCAGAGAAGTGAAATCACCTGCCTAAGGTCACACAGCTAATAAGTAGCCAGGATAATAAGCATTCATTCATTCAATAAAAGGAAGTTGTCCATATTATTTTTAACCACCCAAAGGTGGTGGAATTTCATTCTCTGCTAAGGACCTGGTTCCTCTGCTTGGCCTCCAGGGAGGTATGTGTTGGGGGGAGACAAAGTTATTGCCTGAGGACTAGGTGAATAAAACGGCAGACATCCATACAACCCTCGCACCCGCTTAGCAGGCTCCTTAGGAGCTGTTCCCTCTTCCCAGGTCCTACTCCCGCTCTCCCAGCTATTCCTCCAAGTCTGGCAAGAGGAGCCCGCCTAGCAGAAGCTCTCGATCCCGCCGCAGCCCCAGCTACTCCCGCTACAGCCCCAGCAGGTACAGGCCCCGCCTCCTGGGTCAGGCCCCGCCTCCTGGGTCAGGCCCCGCCTCCTCCCTGCCCCTTTGCTCGGGTCCTCGGCTCTGCCCTGCTGCCCAGGCTGCCTCCTGAGCCCTGCCCTACCTATTCCTCCACCTAGTCCTCCGTCCTCGACCCTGCAGAGGTAGAGATGGGAGTTAACTCAGTGTTCTTGCAGTTGTCTGTCCAATCAGAGTGGACAACCCAAATACACCCGTGTCCCAGCCACAGTACCCCACCCAACCCCACGGCCACCATGGACGTCCGTCCTCATCTCCTGGCCCACCCAGCACTCCCTGGGCTGGCCCTGGGATTCTAAGCCCCACTCCTTACCCATGCATCCAGGCCGCTCACCCCTGCAGCGCTGGTGCCTCTGTAATGCCCACCCCCAAGGACCCCCCAAAGCCAACGCCAGATCCTCCCACGGGGCTCGCCCACGCAGACTCTCCCCACAGCCGGGTGGTCCTCCCGGGGCCCATCTCTGTCCCAATAGGGCGGAGGGGAGGGGAAAGCCGAGGACGTGAGTGTCCCCTCTCCGATGCACTCACCCCGCCACCCTTCAGGGAGCGGGACCCCAAGTACAGCGAGAAGGACTCGCGGCAGCGGGAGCGCGAGCGAGCGCGTCGAAGACGTCGATCCTACTCGCCCATGAGGAAGCGCCGGAGAGACTCTCCGAGCCACCTGGAGGCCCGGAGGATAACAAGGTGAGGCCAGGAGGACGGGTGCCCACCCTCACCATTCCCACCTGGTGGGACCCCAGATTCTCCTGCCTGCGTGGCGCCGGGACTGCAGAACTGTGGGAGCCCAGGGACACCCTCCTGGGGGCAGAGTCATCTTCCAGGTCCACCCTGCGGGGGTCTGCAAGGGGCAGGACGTGGGTGTAGCCTAGAGCCATGTGGGCGGGGTTAGGGTGTGGCCACAGGAAAGGGGTGGGGCCATCCTGATGATAGGGGGTGTGGCCTGGGGTGTGGCTGGACCTTGGGGTGGGAGATGCGGGCTGCGGAAGGGAGAAGGGTCTGGCCCAGTGGAGGCCCGAGTCATAGGCCAGGACTTGACCTGGTGGTGGATCTCCTGGGGCAGCAGAGGAAGACCTTCAACCTCGGACCCACATACTCAGATGCCAGATTTAAATACTCCTATATGTGATTACGTGTGGAAAGGACTTAGAAGGATGGGATCGTAATGAGTAAAGGGGGGAATGGTGGATTTGGAGTTGAATCCTGGCTGGACCTCTATCTCCTCACCTCTCCTGACCCTTCATATTGGAGGATGTAACTCCCAAGGAATGTCAGGAGGATGAAGTGAAACAAAAAGATGTGAATGAACTTTGTAAACTGAAATGCAGACACTGTGCCCTTGTTGTTATTGACTGAATGGTCAGAATAGGTGGACAGGGTCACCTGTCACAGGGACGATCTCAGAGAGGCGCGATGTCTGAGTGGAAGTAAATTTCTCGGACCTTGAAACCTTGGAGAATGGCTGAAGCCTGCCCTAAAGTTGGGTTGACTTTCCAATCATCAGCTCAATCCAGAGACTCTCGGGGCAGCAGTGTATCCTCCCTGGAGAGGATGTGGAGGAGAAAAAGAAGAGGTGCCCCAGGCAGTAAGGCCAGGATGCCTGAATCCCCTTCTCAAAGATTCCACAGAGCACCTGCTTCGACTTGTAAGGGATTCCCTTGCTAAAGATGTCCTTTGGGTCAACTGGAAGGCAACTGAGATCAAACCAGTGGCATTCGAAAAGGCCATCTGTTTTCCTTAGTCAACTCCAAATAACCCATTTTGATTGACCCCTTCAGTGTGTCCCAAATGTGAGCCACCTGTCTCATCTTTACCACTCTTGCCCCACCCCCTTATTAACTGTAACACTGTTTGCTTAACTTCCTTTAAATAATATTGTGCCTCTTTTCAGAGGCCCCCAACTTCATTTCAAAAAGAAACTTGACAACCACTACAGTAAATGGAAAATCAGCCTCTCTTGTCTAGAAATAGAAACTACTAGAAATAGAAGGTTCTAGTAAAAGTAAAAATAGCGAAACAAAACTGCAGTCGAAGTTTAGATGTAGAAATTGTGTTACCAGCTGGAGGCTCTGAGCCCACGCTTGCTTTGTGAAAATCATTTTTTTTTTTAAGAGTGACATGATCACTTTTCAAGACCTAGTGCTGCTAAGATGAGACTTAGTCCCTGGAGTTCTCAAGACTGCAAGTGGAAAGGAGTTGGGGGTGGTTTGGTGGGTGGGTGGGTTGTTTTTTCTCCCGAGGGGGTGATGCACGCAAGAGTCTTCTCTTCCCTGGGGATAAGACTGGGGCTGCCTGGTTGAGGCTGGGAGTCTAACCCTTGCCTGCTCTCTGGGGTCTCCGCAGTGCCCGGAAACGCCCCATCCCCTACTACCGGCCCAGCCCTTCTTCACCCAGCAGCCTCAGCAGCACCGCCTCCTGGTACAGCAGTAGCAGCCGCTCCGCCAGCCGCAGCTACTCCCGGAGCCGAAGTCAGAGCCGGAGCCGGAGTCGAAGTCGGAGCCGCAGCAGGACCGGCACCAGTAGCAGCTCGAGTGCCCGCAGCCCCAGCCTGGGCTCTCGGAGCAGGAGCCGCAGCTACAGCTCAGCAGGCAGCTACTCCAGCACGAGGCGCTAAGCAAGGGCCCTCCCTGGAGCCAGCTGCCCACAGGAACCCCTTTGGCTCTGCCAGCCTCCCCTACTGCCTGCCCTCCCTGCCTTCTCCCCGGTGACAGACATTGAGGTCTCCCGGATCCTGTCCTTCCTGCTTTTCTAGAGAGGAAGAAAAGAGGGTTACCGGGCTTCCCCGTCTATGTCAGGCTGCTAGGAGCCTCTACCAGCACCATCCTGGGGCTCACTCAGGCCTGGGCACATGGAAGGAACCATGGCATTTTTGGCACATACCAAAAAAAAAAAAACACTCTTAAGGTTTTGGGAGAATTCATGGGTCCAGGGCTGGAAATGTGGATCCTGGCCAGGAAAACATGGTGACAGTCCTGCTCACAGGATGTATACAGAAAGTCAAGGGTAATGGGTCCCACCTGCCCTCATTCTACTTTCATTCAGTTTCACGGCTGTACTTTTATGGACCCCCAGGTAGGAGAGAGGTGAGAGAGGACACGAGAGCCCTTGAGGTCCCAGACAAGAGAGCATCCTTTAATCTCCCCCAGCAGACAAAGGCTGGAAGGCTCCTGGGTTCTAGAGGGAGAAACATGCCCAAGTGGGGGACACAGATACTGGAGCTGATGGGAGGTGTCAGGAGATGGGAGAAGTGTTCTCTGGTTACAAACATAGAAGCCAAAATATGAGGCTCACCTGCTGTCCCCAGCATCTCTGCACGGTCAGGGGAAGGAGCCGTGCAGGTTCCGGCTACCAGGTGGCCCCGCCCCATGCCTTTGGGTAAGGTACTCTTTGCCTTACACAAAATGCCTTCTGACTGTGCACAAGAGCCCTGAGGCTCCCCAGGAGAGAAGACAGTGGCACAGCCCCACTGCCCAAATCTAGCTGGCACAAACCGAATTCCACGGGACCATCTGCTGAGCATTCCCCAGGGCTGTGGCTAGCTGCCAGCCCCCAGCGCCAGCCAGTCTGGCCTTGCCCTCTGGCTGGCGCCTGCCTGCCCCCTCCCCACTGCCCAGGCTGCCACACCCTGGATCCTACCCAGGTCAGCCTGGCACCCACCCTGTAGCCTAAGCCTCTCAGGAAGTTTACCAGGATGAGCGCCTCAGTTGAGCCTCGGGGAGAAAGACCCAAATCCAGAGAGTCTGCAGGCAAGGAAGGGGCTCCAGGGCTGCTTCTGAGGTTCCTTGTGAACTTAGGAAAGCTCCACCTTATCTTCTGCCCTCACCCCATCTTCCCCCCAGCCCAGGGCCGGGCAGCCAGGGTCAGCTGCCCTCTGCTTCACAAATACCACCAGCTGTTTCAACCACAGAAGGTACCAGGAGCAGGCAGGCCAGGGCGAAGCGCCTTAAAATAACCTCCCGGGCATCCCCCTCACCAGCTGCCTGGCTCCGGAGGCTTGTGGGTGAATTTCAAGTTTGTGGTGGCAACAGCAGCCCGACGGGACATGTGTGGGGAAGCGAGATCGGCCTTTCTGGATCCTCCCCACCCGAAGGCAGGGTGACCTCCCCCTCCCCAGTCTTCCCCACCGTAGCAACACAGGGGCCAGCGACTACCCGGCAACCACCCTCAAAGTCCCCCGTCCATCAGGAGAGAAGAGCAAGGCAGCGCGGACCACCCGGCCTGCCCGCCCACCACCGTGGCCTCTGGCCCAGAGCAGAGCCCCGCCCACCAGGCCTCATCCACACCAACGCCACCGCCACAGAAGGCCGGATGGCAGGTGCCCAGGACAGGGGCAGGTGCCCTGGGAGGGCATGTACAGAAGCTGTAAATAACCCTCTTCCCCGCCCAGGACCTAGACCTCACTGCAGTCTCCCTGCCTGGGATAAAAGCTTCCAAACCTGCCTAGCGGGACAGCTACAAGGGCCCCCGAGAGCTGCCTGACCACTGTCTTCATTGGGACAACTCTAGGGGACCATTCCACCTGGGGCTCCTAAGCAAACCTCTTATTTATTTTATTTATGTTTTATTTATTTATTGATATGACCGTCCTTTTGTTTCTTACCATTAGCAGTATTTAATTATTTAACTATTTATTTATTTATATGAAGAGGGAGTGTGTGTGTGTGTGTGTGTGTGTGTGAGTGTGTGTGAGTGTGTTTGGGGAGGGGGCTGTCTCCATTTCTTTTGTGTCTCAATGGATGTGACTTTGCGGGGGGATGGGATGTTGGCCTTTTCTCCAAAAGGCTCTAAGCCAGGACCATCTGGAGTTGACCCAGATTGGACTCACGGGTCCCAAGATCATTACTGAGCCTGAGAGCAGTGAGGTCCAGGCCCCGTGTCCCAGCCCCTGCCCACCAGCTGCCCCACAGAGACATCAGTGAAAATAGCCAAGGGGCTCAGGGTTCACTCATTGGGTCCCAGCTTGGATTGGGGGCTGGACTCCAAATTAGCATGTAAGTCAAAGATGCACAAAGTTGAGATCCCCAGGGAGGCTCCCCAGCTGGAGAGACAGATGCGCCATCTCTAGGTGGGTCAGGTTCCAGCTGAGCACCTACTGTCACCTGGCCTGTGGGGGCCGGCGCGAAGGAGGAGATGGTTCAGTACTGGCACAGCGCCTGGATTGTTGAGGTGTGAAGTGGTGCTCACACCACAAGAATCAGGCAGGACTGAGCTGCCCCGGGGGCAGAGGAGATGCTCATCTTGGCCTCACTCGGGGACACGGATCACCCACTGCCTTCCCTAAGTGGTTTCACCCACGTTCCACATGGTTCTGTGCTAAGTACCTCATTCCCCCTCTGCTGAGATTCGAAAGCTGCCCTGTTTGGTCCGCAGTGGACACAGGCAGCCTGGTCAAGAGGTACCAGCCATCCAGAGAGAGAGAGAGACCCACAGCACTAGCCTTTTTCTGTGACCTCTTGCTATTGCTATTGGGGGAGGACGCAAACCGATTTCTGGAATCTGAGAATACAGCGAGATGAAGGGCAAAGCCAGATGTTCCTAAGAAGGTCATTTCTGAGCCCATCCTGGGAACTAGATCCAGAGACCTTCATCAGGCCTGCCTCTGTGACCAGCTGGCAGTACCTTCTGGCTGCTGGCTGGAGAGGCGCCTGCCCTTTCGGAAGTCCCTCCCCCTGCCCGTGACTGCCAGCCTGCCTGGGCCAGCTGTGGCTTCTTGCAACTTTTGCAGCATTCTTGGTTGTTTCCCTGGCAATGTGACTGCCCCACTCTACCCCAACAAGGGAGCCCCCTACCCTGGGGAGAGTTGGCAACAAGATCTCATAGATGCCCCTGTGGGTCGGGAGGAGGGACTCCATCTCTCTCTCTCTCTCCTCTCTCTCTCTCTGTACTGGGATGCTGGTCACCTTGATTAACTAGAACCATGGGTTCCTGGTGTTACTGGACCTCTGTTGGCTCTTCATTGTCAATATCTTCTGCTTCCAGGAAACAGGACTTAGTGTTTGAAAGCCACTCATAGTGACGATGTAGCTCAAAGCCGATACCCAAAATGAGAGGGGGGTGCAGTGCAGGTCAAGCTTCCTGCCCCCCCCCCAATTCCTTTGACCCTCCCGTGAGGATGTGCACTAGGTAAGTGGAACTGGGCAGATGGCTTGCTTTCCCTGTGCCCAAGTTCCCACCTCTGTGGAGTTTGGGAGATGTTGCCCCGAGGCCTGGGAGGGTCTCCAAAGCCAGAGACAAGTCTCACCGACACTGAGACGGAACAGGAGGTTCTCAGTCACGAGAGGTAAAGACTAAAAAGCCAAATTTGAATCCCCTTCAGTTAGTTAGGAAGAGCCCCCAGCAGGGACCCTGCTCACTCATCCCGTCTCGGTTTGCTCCCTACGTGGAAGGAAACTCCAAGAAGTTTCCTTCTTTCACCTTCCAGAAGCAGAATAAAATGGAGATGTTGGAAAGACATCAGGGGCTCCATCTCAGGGGCCCCCATCCCTTCCTTGGCTCAGACCCATTCTCTTTCCCAAATGGTCCAGTTTTGGAGAGGTTCCCCAAAATGACAGAAAGCCCCTCTTTTTTCCCCCCCAACCCAGCCTCCAGCTTTTCTTCTGTTGTCTTCTGGCCACAAATATCTAAAAGAGTCCCCCGTGCGCTTGAGTCTCTCTTCTTCCCCCTCCAGCTCAATAGGGCATTTGGTCTGATCAAATCAAATCCCAAGTACGACTCCTAAGCCGCGCCTCCCTCTCCAGTGGCCCAGTCAATCCTGCTGGGACACTACAACCCACAGCAAGGATTGATCAAAACCCCTCCCTTCTCACTCTCCCACCAAGGAATCGGTGTCATGGACACCCTCCCTCTACCTGTGGCTGATTTTTGTTGGTTTATACATTTGGGTTTTTTGAGTGTTTCTGTTTTCTGTTTGTTTGGTGGTCTTTGTTTTGCACTGTAAATACCATGATAGGGACCCCTCCTTGGAACATGGCTTATTTAATAATTTATTTGCTATTTATTGAGCGGTGTTGGGATTGGGACAGGAGCGAGGCCACCTCTTCCCAAGAATCCCTCCAACTCTGCGCTCCAGAGATGCCGTGGGCCGCCGCAGCGCCGTCTCACCCAGGTAATGAGTTCGAGACTCACCGAAACAAATTGGAATTGGCAGCAACAGAGGCTCCGGCCATAGCAATTAAGCTCCAAATGGAACTAAAACACTGGTTTATCTCCAGGAAAAACCTCATTCCGATGGAAATTCATTGAGGAATCAAATGCCTTCCCCGGGAACCAACTTCTCTTAAACAGTCACAGCTCCTTGAAAAATAAAAGTGGAGAGAATGAAAAAGGTCGCCCCTGGTCTGTAGCCAAGAGAAGCTACTCCGCCTCATCTTGGAAGGAGCCAAGCCAAAGAGACTGGCGTCGCATTTCTCTGTGCTTCTCTGGCTCGTGTGTCTGTGTGCATGGAAGGGAATGGGCCTCGGGCCTCAGTCTTGTCATCTGTGAAATGGGAATTGGCCTGAGCGATCCTGGCAGGGTGGGGGAGAGAGGGCTCTGGCTCTGACCCGGAGGACAGCTTCCTGTTGGAATTTTTGTCCCTGGGTCTTCTGCGGTAGGTTGAACGGCAGCGACCAAGGACGGGAACAGAAAGGTGGGGTGTGGATTTCATCTGCTGGGGGAGGTCATGATAGCTGAGTTCTCGTGCCAACTATGGGAGACCGCGAGGTGTCGTCCCCTTGATAACTCCCGTGACTTGAGTTCAAGTCCTCTGTATTTACCTTGAACTTCTCTCCAAGCCTAGTGGTCCACAGTCATCCCAGGAGAGACCAAGATGGTTTGGCTCTGCCCTGCATTTTACCCCCGTTGGTGGTCAGACCTTGTTTTGTACAATCATTCAAGGAAGCCGGTGACGTAGGTCCGAGTACCACTTTTCAGATGAGAAAACTGAGGCCTGGGAAGGGGGAGTGTTGTGCCCAAGTCCCTTGAGCTCAGATGGGGCTGGCGGTGCCCCTCGTCCCCTTGGAAGCTCTTTCTCTGGGGGCGTGTGCTCTGAGGACTTTGTCTTACTTCTGTCCCACCTCTTGGTTTTCCTCCAAGTGTCCATTGGCCAAGGACCTAGCAGAACCCACCACACTGGCCCAGGGGACTCGGTACACCTGAAGGCCATTTCTCTACTCTGGGGCTGAGACTCCCACCTGGAAAACACTGAACCAAAGGAGCCATCCCCAGTCCAGCCCAGCCTGACCAGCAAATGCCCTGAGTGTCCACCTCAGAGGGAAAGACACTGCTGTGTCCTCCAGCGTCCTGGGACCCTGTCCTCTGCCCAGGGACACAGTGGCCACGGCTTGCTTGATTTCTGATCTCTACAACTAAGCCTAACCTCCCCTGGGTTTCCGGTTTTCAGTCTGTATGGAACATGTCTGTGTTCTAATTAAAGGTCCATGGTATGGTGTTCTCATGTCCGCCCGGTGTCCTCTGTCCCTCGGGGGTGGCCAGAAGCAGAGAGGAGGGAGAGAGACAGAGAGCTAGGGGCTCTTCCATGGCTCCTACTGCCTGTCATTGCACGTGAACCTGCAGACAAACCTAAAAGCACTTGGGTTTTGCATGTACCTGAATGCATTACCCCCAGAAAGCATCGTGGACACCTTACCCTAGCCTTCCACACAACCCTGTAAGGGAGGCATTAGGATCTCCATGTTTGCTCATCTGTGAAATGGGACAACAGCAGTGACCTTCCTGCACTACTAAGGGAAATAAGTGAGATCGGAGCTTTTTTAAAACAAATGGCACTTGGGAAGCATTTAAAAGATGTCAGTGAGGGAAGTCACCATTTCCTAACCCTAACCTGAGCGGCAGGAGTGGGTTCCTGTCCACAGCACAAAGTCACCCACCTGGAGCAATAGTGAGCCTGGGCACGTCCTCGGCGTAGAATCGAAATGTTTCTTTCTGTCCAGGACAGGAGTCGGAAACACCTGGGGGTCAGGCAGGCCAGGGGAGTAGAGAATTGGATATATTATTGAGGGCAGGTAGGAATCTCAGCTCATGTGGCCGAATTTCCCAATATGCCAAGAGAACCTGAGGTCTTAGGTAAAATGAGTTTTGAAATACCCAGGGCTTGGGCTTGTCTTTTGAAACACTGAATTCCAAGGACACGTGCACGCCCACACAGGGACGATGGTGTGGCCTCACCTCCATCCCCGGGGTGGGGGGGGGTTGCTGGGGGGTTGCCCCAGCCCCTCATTTACCACATAGCCCCGCCCACACCTGAGCTGGGAGAAAGATGGGACAACACAGGTGACCAACCTCTTTGGGCCAGGCATCCTGCCCCATGGAAATCTGCCTTGCGTACTCGGGTGGGACGACTCCCTTGGAAAACGCATGGCTATGCACCCCCACCTCCCCCTCCCCCTCCCCCTCCCCTCCCTCTCCCCCTCCCCCTCCACGCTGACTTCTCTCCAAAAGCAACAACCAGTGTCTTCTCCTGACACCTCGTCAATCAATAATACTAATTAAGAATAAAAAGAACCTCCTAGGGATGGGTTATCAAGTGCCATTTGCAGCAGCAACATCTCATTTCCATAGCCGAGGTCGCCCCATTGGACAGAAGACAAAGTTGAGGCTCACAGAGGCAGGACCCCATGGCGGACCCAAGTCGGCGGCCACCAAGCCCGTTTCTGCTGCACCTCTTTGCCCGTGAGGTGTGCACACCCCCAACTCAGACCTCACCCTCCATAAGGGCTCGGATCACTTTTTTCCTTCCCAGAGAAGCATAGCAGCCGGAAGGCTGTCCAGGTGGCTGACGTCAGCTGCCTCTGAGTGACTCACGGAGAGGCCGTCACCTTTCCATCTCCTGCCCTGGCCCTCACTTACAGGAATCCGAGTGTTTGTTTTTCCAGTGATCGCCTTGGAGAGGTGCCCTGCCCGCTCCCTGTCCCAGCTGTCCTGGCTGCAGAGCGGGGACCTGCTTCTGGAGATGTCTCTCTCCCAGGCCAGACTGGTAGCTGCCCGATTTGGTTGGAGGGGAGCCAGGCTGCATGCAACACCCGCACTTTCAGCAGCCGCAGGGGCACCCCACAGAAACCTGCCCAGGGGTGGGAGTGACAGGGTAGGCAGGGGCCAGGCCCTCCACTGCCGATTCTCCCCAGCTGCACAGCGCTAAGCAAATCCAGCCCTCTCTGGGGCCAAGTTACTCCACCTGTTAAAAGGGAGGATCTCGATCCTGGCTGTGTGTTCAGGTCACCCGCTGGTAGTGCTAAAGGCTCTCTGGGGCATTCCAAACCGAAGCCAGGCTGGAGAACCCTGAATCAGATGGTACCTAAAATGCCAGCAGGGTCCTCTAAGCTGCCATCAGTAAAGCCATCGAGAAGACCAGCACCAACGTAGGGGCTGTGTCACGATGGGCAAAGGTGCGACTTATGCAGTCGAGGGGCAGAAAATAAAGAAGGTCCACGGGCTTCTGCCCTTTTCAATGCTTTATTCACTCAAATCGCTCAATACAATTCCACTCTATAGGTTCTGAATCAAGAAAGTGACAATCCTTAATGCTGGGCACTGCCATCGACAGAATCCAACCACAACAAACATTTCTAGATTAGTTCTAAGCACTGCAAACACACTTAATCATGACAGGCCCGTGACAGACATTCCCTCTGCATGCTGAGCTCAAGTGTCAGATCTAAAGTCTCAAGCCTTAGGCTCTGAGTCCAGCAGATGCCCACTCACTCAGACCCCGGTGGTCAGGTCAGGGCCCCAGGCAGGCTTCTCCCGGGGTGGAGCTGATGGCCGGCTGAGGAGAGGGTTGTAGGGAGAAGTCCTTTTCTCCCCAGAGTCCAGAGGCTGCTGTAGAGTTCAAGAGCAGAGAGAGCAACGCAGAGGATCAGGCAGATGAGAAGAGTGGGGGTGTCAGTCCAGGTCCCCATCAGGCTCTCCAGCCTGAGGGCATCAGTGTGGGCTGGCTGAATGTCTGTTTGCTTTCTCCATCATTTATACTAAATTCTGGGGTTTCTGACCAGCCTTTCAAAATCCCAATCAGCTGCCACCAGATTTCTCAGTGACGTCATTCACCCTGAGGTTAAAGCATCTGGTCTGGGGGTCCCCATCCTGATTTCTTGCCTCTCCCACTTATGGTGGCGAGGGCAACATGACAGAGACTTTACTCTGAGTTTGTCGGGATGGGGAGAAGTGGCTTATTTATGTCAGGGCCATGCCTGATGGCCATATTGGAGGGCTCCGTAGGGGTGGCCTGGTGAGGCTGCAGGTTTCAAAGCAGCGTTTTAAAATGGAGTTGCTTAGAATCAGGCCTAAGGCCACCCTTACATACCTGCCAGGCACACTTCCAAGGGCCTCACATATTTTTTTTTCTACCAGGGATTGAACTCAGGGGCACTCGACCACTGAGCCCCATCCCCAGCCCTATTCTGTATTTTATTTAGAGACAGGGTCTCACTGAGTTGCTTAGCGCCTTGCTAAGTTGCTGAGGCTGGCTTTGAACTCGCAATCCTCCTGCCTCAGCCTTCACCCCCAGTTGCTGGGATGACAGGCGTGAGAACCACCATACCAGGCCATAGATGCCTTTTTAATGCCCATGGTGCAGAGGCAGACAGCGAGGCAGAGACAGGGGTCCTGGGGTGCACGCTGGATGCTAGGACGCGGGTAAATCCACCCAAAAGGGCCGCGGAACGTCAAGAAAGGTGTCACAGAAAAACCTGACCTCTAGGCTGACCCTGGGCCCTGGGGAGGAGCTGGCCAAGGGGCTTAGGAAAGAAGAGAGAGGGAGCACTTCTCAGAGGCCACCCCCCCACCCCTCAGGTGCCCTCCCCGCCCACCCTGGGTGTTCCTTCTGTGATAGTTTGTTTACTTGTTTAGTGCCATCTCCAGGACAGGGCCTTCTTGGCCTCATTCGTCCCCACCGCTCAGCAGAGAGCGCTGGCATGCAGCTGGTCATCAAGTGACTGCATCTGCCCAGGACTGCCAGCTCGGCTTCCTTCTACCACTCATTCATTGTTGAGCCGGTTCATTATGTATTTATTTATTTATTGGGGGAACCAACTCCGGAATTAGAAAGTGCCGTTATTTTTAAAAAAAAAGAGTGACTGAACCCAAGGATTTGGGGGGATCAGAAAGACCCGGAGGTGAGCCTGACTCTGCTACTCCCTGGCTGTGTGTCTATGTGTCAGTGACTCAGCCTCTCTGAGCTTCAAGTTCCTTACTTTCCAACAGAGGCAATAAAAGCATCCATCTTGTAAGATTGCCGTGAAGATGATGAAGGGAGGCAGGTGGCTCTGTTGCCTGGGCGAGCTCATGGTGAATTTCTGGGAGGATTCCAGGTCACCTTGGCAAAAGGTCCAACGGTCGGTCCTGCTGTCGTTCACCACCTGGAACACCCCATCCTCAAGTGAGGGCAACTCCTGCCTCCGCCCTCCAGAGTTTCACCCGCTCAGAGGAATCCAGAGCCACCAGGAAACTTGGCCGTCTCCCCCTGACATGTCGTCAACGTCTTCCACCCTCAGATCGTCAGTGCAGAGACCAGGGGTACTGGTCATCCCTGTCCACCCAGGTGGGATCCACCCACCGGTCCACTCCCCACCTGGAACGTGGGCCCTGACCCGCTCTGTCGCTGCAGCCAACCTACAGCCAGGTGACGCAGGGCAGTTTTTCCTTCGCCATGGAAACGGGTCAGGTGCTTTCTCAGGGTGTCACGCTGGGTCCCTTTGACAAGTGACTCTCAGATCTACACCCCAAATAAACAACCCCAAGCACATCAGATAGAGGCGCAGTGCCAAATGGAAACGGGGTTTGAACTAGGTGTACACACACACACACACACACACACACGCACACACATGCATACACACCTCCCCGGCTGAGCTTCATAGGGTCAGTGAATTGTTTGAAATCCCACAGTTTTGCAGGGAATAATTACCATCAGCATTTGGGACAGAGGAGTACAGATTCCTCATCAGTTTTCCAAAGGAATTTAACTTAAACCTTTAGGAAATTTAAGTTGATCTGTCCTCGCTGTCTTAGGAGATTGCAGAGTTTTTAAGTTCCCTCTCGGTATCCTTTCCCTTGTCAGCCGTGCTAATAAATTCCCCATTTTTCAACTAGGTTCCTAGCCACCCACAATAAAGACTACATTTCCCAGCATTCTCTGCAGCCAGCTCTGGCCATGTAACTCATTTTAGCCAATGAGAATTTGGACCTGCTAACTCCCACAGAGTTCTATAAAAGAGAGTGGTCATGTGCTCTTTCATCTTCATTCCTTGCTACTCTTTTGCTGGCTGGAATGCAGATGAGATGGCTGGAACTCAAGTAACTCCCTAATTCACCAGGTGGCACTGCAAATGGAGCTCATATAATATAGGTAGAGTGTTAGGCTGGTCCTACAGGGCTTTGTGGGGCAGGGGCATCAGACCTACAGTGGATACAATATCTCTGGACTTCAACATTAGGGATAAATAAACTTCACTTTCCTTGTGGCTACTTAACCTTGTTGTTCACAGCTGAGGCTAATTCTAACTCATATTCAAGGTGACGGTGAAGACAGTTTTAAAAGGAGCTATCTTGTTCAAGTAACTCCTTTCCATCTCTACGCATCCTCCCCAGCTCCTCCTCTTGCCAAACCAGCTCCTGCTTCGACCTTAGAAGAATCCAAGAGAGGGGCCCTCAAGGTCGTAGACCTCCCAGCTCCCCCCTCCCAAAGAACTATCAACCTCCCTCCGCATAAGGGGCTCATGGTGGCAGGTGTTATGTATGTCCCCAGCTGAGAAGAGCACAGACTAGTCTCCCAGTCAAGCTTTTGGCAGCCAAGGAGACGAATGCTTTACCCTCAGAGTGACACTGGCACTGAAAGTCTTTTCCACAGAGCAATGCCAAGGAGACCCAATTAGGAAGAATCAGTTAGGTTGTGCTTCAGTAAAAAAGAAGTCCAAAAATCACAATGTTCTAAAACAACAAAGGTTTCTCTCTCATTGGCGTCCATTGTGAGCAGCAGGGTAATCAGTATGTGGGTAACTAAGATGCTAGTCATCCTGGTGCAGAGGGAAAGACAAATGCCCCCCACAGGGTTCAGGCTGGGTGGATCCAGGGGTTTCCCATGGCCTATTAATGCTTTGAACTGGGAGTGACAACTTATTGGTCCCTCACTACAAGGCTTCTCCCAACCACGGTGGCCTCAGGAAGTGTAGTGCTACCCCTACTTGTGTCCAGAGTGGAGGAAGGAGAAAGCAGAAATGTTTGGTGAACAACACTGGTGTTTAAAAAATTCTATCAAAATCCACAAACTATATGTCAGGTACTGTACTAGGTCCAGGTGGCACAGCCACCAACCATCCCCCAAGGCTCCACCCTCCACCCTCAGGCAGCGTCCCTGCCAAGTCCCTGCCAACGGAGGGGAAGACACAGACAATGAGAGGTGAGAAGGACTCAGCGGGGGGCCGGAACCACGAGGAACTTCAGCCAGCAGAAGGTGAGAAGCGGGGGACAGGCAGGGAGCCCGCGTCCTTCAGGAAACCCTCGGGACATGGAGTCACTCCGCTGTGACCTTGACTGTCACAGACTCGGGGAAGCAAGACCTGTGGCTTCCTGCTCTTCATCTCTGGCCTCTCGGTGTGCGTTGGGTGAGACCCCAGAGGACATGTAGAGGCTGAAGGCAGGAACACACCGGCCCCTCTGCTCCTCTCCCGTCCAACTGCCCCGTCCGCACACTCTGCTTCTGTAGTCCCCCAGGTCCACAGCCCCATAGGTGGCCCTTTCACCTGGACCTCTGGAAACACCTCCCGGCTGGCTTCCCCGGAGCCTGGCCCCACAGTACCCTCGCCATGAGCACCAGCCAGCTCCCTGTCTTCATGGTGCACCCATCCTTCTCCAAAGAACACGGTGGACCTCCAGTGTGCCCAGGGCAAATCTCCCTCCTGACGGACCCACCAGGCCCTATGTGGTCTGGCCACGTCCCCCTCACTATCTGTGCTAGGAGTTACTCGGGGGCATAGGTTCTGTGTTAGGAGTTTTCCGTTGCTATGACAAAACGCCTGATGGAAACAACGTATAAGGAAGAAAGGTTGATGTGGCTCATGGCCTCAGAAGTTTCAGTCCGTGGTTGTTTGCCCTCTCCTTGCCCCACAGCCCGGTTGCCTTTGGGCCTAGGATGAGTGAGACATCACGGTGGGGAGCACCTAGCTGAGGAAGTTGTCATATCATGGCAGCCAAGAGAGAGTCAGGAAGGAGCCAGTGACCTACATTCCTTCCAGTAGGCCCCGCCTCCCCAAGTCTCCACCATCTCCCAACAGCGCCACAGACAGGGACCAACCCTTAACATAGAGGCCTTCGGGGGACTTCTATCCAAACAATTAGGGGTATTATAACCATATCTGCTTTGCAAAGGACATGACAGAAGTTCAGAGAGGTGAAGTCACTCTCCCAGAGCAGCACAGTAAACAGGACTCAAACCCAGATGTGTTCAGGTTCCTACCCTCCACGGTTTAGTCTTCCCTAAGCACGAAATGCCCACACTATCACTTTCCCAACTCTCGTCCCTGGAAGCAGAGGTGAAAGGGGTCTCAGGAGGGATGCTCAGAGCCCGCGAAAGCCCTGGGCGGTGGCAGCCATCCTTGGTGACAGGAGGGTAGGGTGATCTTCTCCCCTACAGCTGAGCCCCGGCCTCTTGTCCTCGGGTGCCCACAGGAGAGAGGAGCTCCCCAGAGCCTGCCGAGTGCCCACCCCAGCTAGGACAGGGACAAGGCTCATCCCAGGCAGCCCCAGAGGTCAATGTGCTCCTGGTGTTGTTAGTTCTACTGAGAAAGTCTGGCAGAAGTTTCCAGAAAAGGAGTCCCAGTGAGAGGGTGGGGGAGGAGGTGGGCTGATTAGGTCCCCAACACTGGAGGGTCACTGTGCTATTCAAGGAATCTAGAGTGGTTAAGAATTGGTAGCTGTGTGACGCAGGGTAAGTTGTTTAACCTCTCTGATCCTTGCTATTGTCATCTCTAAATGGGGATAATGACATCTACCTTGGAGCAATCTGGGTGAGGATTAAATGACTTTGATACCTGTAGGGAACTGAGGGGCTCAAGCGGCAGGAACGTGAAGTTAAGGAACATAATTCTATAAACTGGGCCCACTGTACTGAGCCCGACCTGCTTTCTTTTCTACAAAGCGACTTACCTGTAGCCCTGCCTGGCTTAGGCCCACAGGACATGGTCCATTCCTCAGCCACCAACCTGCCATCAGCAGGGGGCCATGTAGCCCAAAGGCCAATAAGAAGAACCCAGGCTACCTTGAAGGAGGGGACTTTTGTGACCTTCACACAGACCAGATCCCAGAACCCAGGGAGGTAAAGATCATCCCCACCCACCTTAAGATCTGTAGGGACAAGTTCTAATTCGACCGGGTCATGATGGGCCCAAGGGACCTAGAGTTATCACGGCAGAGGGGACCTGATGGATGTCATCCTGCTGTTCATCAAAAGTCAAGAGATGGACCTGGGCAGGACTTTCTAGAAACTTCTCTGGGATTCCCCCAGTGAAACTGGAGTGCAGGAGGGGCACGCTGTCCCTCTCCTCTCTGAGGGGACCCACCCTTTCCCTTGAGAGTGTCCCCTTTCTCCTTTTCTATCCCTTCAATAAACTCGTGCCTATTCCTCTGAGCCATGGGCCTGAAATCTTTCTGACTTGATCACAAGACTCAGGGTTTGGGGTGGGAGTGTCTTCACGCTGCCTCGGTGACCCGCAGGTCCCAGCCCTGTGACACAGGCTGAGCTATTGCGACATTGCTGCTCTTTGATGGTTATTTGTAGAGGTGCTCAGGAGCCGAGGTCCTGGGAAGGAATTTTGGAGACAATAATAGGAGGAAGTTAGGCCTCCACAACCCAGTCCAGCCTTCACAGGACGCCGCTGGGGCACGGGCTGGTCCCCGAGGGGACTGCAGGGTGTTTATTTTATTCTGTTTACTCAGCCCGGGCTTGAAATTCAGGCAGATCAGGGTCCAGAGGCCAAACCAGGAAGATGAATGAGGCCAGACTGCGTAGCCCCCAGGACTGTCTGCCCCGACAGTCGAGTTCATTGTCCAGAGAGGTGGCCACGGGGGCTGTGGGGTCCAGATTCTGCCACTCACAATGTTAGGTCAGTGGCGGCGACTTGGTGGCGACTTAGAACAAAGCAGCCTGCGCTTTGCATCAATCAGATGCCGGCGGAAACGCCTGTCCATCAGCCAGATCTCCTGACTAACGCCTGTCAATCAGCAGGACCCCCCTGGCCAATCCTGGAGTTCAGCCAACTCCCCTGACCGACTCCAAGGGGGCAAGTGACCCTAGAAACACCTTTTCCTGTCCCAAGCCCTTCCCTTCCTGCTGTAAGACCCATAAAAGTCCAGTCCGGTAGAGCTTCCACTTGGTTTCTCCTCAGACCCTTCTCCTGTCCCCTCTGGGGGTCTGATCGAGTTCCGCCGGGGAGTGATATCTCAATAAAGCCTGTTCAGCGGCCCTTTTAAACCTGCCTCCTTTGGCCATTGCCTGCCCTGACTGATCTGACACACAGGACACTGTCCACTCAGCCAGGGTCTGTGGCTCCTATAGTGTCCCAGGCCATGGGGATGATGCCACCCTGAACAGGACACCAAGGGTCCCACTCTGGAGAGCACCGGAGATTCCTGTAGTGTTGTAACTCAGGGTCCCCTGAACCCTGGAGGGTTCTTGTCTCAGGCACCAGGAGAATGGGGTCCGCAGGCGGCAGAGGGTGAGGACTCAGGAGGAGGGCGCACAGCATGGGAAGGGGCCCAGAGAGGGTGCTCAGGAGGCCGAGGCAGGAGGATCCCGAGTTCCAAGCCAGCCTCAGCAACAGCGAGGCCCTGAGCAACTCAGGGAGACCCTGTCTCTAAATACAATGCAAAATAGGGCTGGGGATGGGGCTCAGGGGTCAAGTGAGTGCCCCTGTGTAGAGGGCCTGGGGCTGGAATTCCCCCAGGGGACGAGAGGAAATGTCCACTCTTCCTGCAGGAGCGGATAGGCAACTGACAGGCCCCTTTCTGGGCCGGCCACTCCCTCCCTGCCTACCTGTGTGGCTTCCGCTGTTGCTTCTGCCTGCGGGGCCCTAGTTTTAGGAACGCAGAGTGATGTCACCTCCCCCAGGCTGTCTGCCTTGAGGATTGTTGTGGGTATTTCCCGTCCCCTCTCCTTTTCCCAGAGCATCTGCCTGGAGGCCCCCCTCCCCAGAGCCTGCCCCTGTTCTCACCTGACCACTCTCCACATGTGTTCGCTGACTGGTCACTAGGTGGCCGGGCGAGCAGGACTAGCAGCTGCCTCTGTCCTCAGTGTCCCCAGACAGAAAGCTGGCCTGACCAGGATACGCAAGGAGGAGAAGAAGGACAGTGTCCTGGGCCGCAGGCAGGGGCTGTGGGCGACCTCACCCCATCCTAGTTATCACTGTGAACTCCCAAGTCCCATTGGCTGTGTGGCCCCGGACAAGCGGCTTCAGTTCTCTGAATCACAAGGCTGCAACGAGGTCAGGAACAAAACCAGTTGCTCCTAAGGTATACAGGCAGTGCTCCATAAATGTGAGCCATGACTGATTGCAGGAGTTCAGCAGACAGGAGCTACCCAGGGTTGGATCCCAGCTCTGCCCCTCAGCCGGATCCATGGACATAACCAAGTCACGTATGGCTGAGCCTCACGGTTTCCTCATCTGTGAAACGGGGATAATAAAAGTGGCTTCCTCCCAGGGCTGTGGGGAGGAGGAGAGGAGCCAAGACACCCACACTGAAAGTGCCCACCAGAGAAGCCAGCGCCTGGCCGGGGCCCCACAGCTGCTAAGGAACCAGGTTTCTAATTCCCAGGGGCACAGTGGGTACACTGCGCTCCCTTCTCCCCTGGGAAGGTGGCTGAAGCCCTGGACTCTCAGTTCTCCGCTCCCTGCCCGGGCTCCCCTCCTTCCCAGTGCCCTGGTTCCAGAAGAGTCTCCTTCCAGGTTCAGGGGTCTTCTGGAAGTTTCAGGGTGGAGTTTAGGAGGGCGGCCTGGAGGGAGGGGGTGGGGGAGGGGAAGGACAGGAGGACCTTCCAGAACACGCCCACCCCTGCGCACACAAATGCAGGCTCCCGCCCACTCTGCCACCGCCCCAGCCCCCATTTCTGGCCTGCGATCTGCCCGGATTCTCCCCATAACTGGCTTCAAACCCAGCCGCCCCGCCCAGCTGTAATTACAGAGAGAGCCCAGGAGGAGTCTGTGCCCAGCCCTGACGTCAGCCAGAAGCTTCTAGCCGGATGAGCTCACCCCACATGGAGCAGCAGTGGTCCCACTCGGGAGGTGTCACGCCCCTGGGGTCTCTTCCTGATGCAGAAAAAAAAAAAAAAAGCCAGAGGGTCTCAGTGAGCCCCCTCACCGCAGATCCAGGCTGTCCGCTCCATGCCTGCCTGGCGCAGGGGGGCGGGGGGGATCCAGGCTCCGCACCTGTTCCCCACCTGCAAAAGGGGGGTGCCCACAGCAAAGACATCGTGGTGAGGTTATGTGCAGCGTCTCAGGGACCCACGGCAGTGCCACAAGAGTCAATAAACGGTGGCGACTGTTGTCACTGTGTATTATTATTTTTAGCAGAGTGCTTCATCTGAGCGCTGCTTCATATCAAAATAATGGCTCAACCTATGACTCATGGGCTCCTGGGCACCCCCACCCCACCCGCTCTGGTGGAGAAGGCAGAGCTGAGACCCTGAGGCCCTCAGAGGGGGAAATGGCATGTCCAAAGTCGCCTAACCCTCGATGGGAATTAAGTCCCAGGGGCGGTCAGGCCAAAGGAGGATTCATCAGTCCCCTCTTTGGGCAGTTTGGGAACAGCAGGGAGATCTAGAAAACAAGCCTGTGTCCCAACAGGAGGTCCTGCCTGGGGAGGGTACAGAGGATGATCACCAGGATTAAATCAGGATCTGGGGCCAGGGCTCCTGAACACTTCCGACGGCGGTTTCCTCATCTGTAGAATGGGATGACAGAACCCTTGCTTTACAGGCTTGTGGGGGCGGATTAATGAGTTCATGTTTGTCAAGGCCTGGAGCAGAGCCCGGCATGGAGCCAGTCACTGATCATTCAGAGTTGAAAACATAAAAGCACTGTCTGATCCCTCTGCTAAGCACCGCCTGAGAATGTCCCCTGTATCCCGATGACCCGCCCAGGAGGAGGCAGCCACTAAGTCCATGTCACAGGAAATAATGAGAATAATGTCACAGCTGAAGGAGATTTTTTTTTTTTTTTGGCTTAACCAAAGTGACCTGCCTGAGGCCCCGGGGTGCATTTTCTTGTAAACTCCAGGCTTAACCAGGGTCCCAGGAAGTCAGGGTAGCAACAACCCCCAGCCCTGGGGATCTGGTCCACCTCCAGACCTGCTCCCACCCCTCAGCCCACATCCCCCTCCAGGGGAGGCCTGAGGACCTGCTCTGTTTTCAGCCAGAATCCTGTTGGGTTGGTTCAGCCGGAATCCCCTCTGACCCCCTGCTTTTCTTCTTAGTCATTTCCACCCACTGACCCTCATTCATGGCTATTGATTCCCTTGGCAGGTGCCATATTGGAAGTGGAGCCCAAGCCTCCTCCCCCAGCAAAACCCCAGTGCTCCTGGTGACCACACCTGCCACAGCCACCATGCCCACCCTGCCCCCGCCCAAAGTCTCCCTGGCCCTGATTGAACGCGTGCCATTTGAATCTATTGCACTTTTCCGTTGTTCTTTTCTTTTCTATTTTTTAATCACTCTCAGGGAACACCGAGGCTCTCAGACTTTGGTCAGGCTGTGAGTGGGGATTCCAATCTAGGGCCATCTGCGTGTCCAGATCCCCTGGCCTCCTGCCTGCTCTTCCCCTTTTGCAGGTCCCCAGGGGGTAGACAGGATGCGACATGCTCACAGGGAGGTATTTGCAGAGGGTGACCTGAGCCCTCAGCCAGGCAAGGGTTATTAATAGCCAGGCCTGAGTGGCCTGCAGGGGAGGTGGCTCTGGAACCAGGGAGGGGGCGGGGCCGAGCGGGCGGAGGGGGAGGAGCAAGGGTCCGGAGAGGCTGAACGGGCAGGGCAGGCCCCTCCCCGCCCCCTGTCGCCGGTTCCCTCAGCAGATTCTCCGGGGCTGGTTCACCACCTTTGAATACCCTGGTGACAGGAGGCGCTTGCAAAACCCGCCTCCAGCCACCCCCACCCCCCCGCAGCAGCAAATAAATAGAGGGCTCGGAGCCCTGGAGAAGCCAGGAGAAGTTTCTAGGCGCCTGTCCCCGAGGTTTATTAAGCTTCTGGCTTCACTCTCGACCTCAGCAGCCCTGGCTGGGAGCCTGGACAGCTCGGCAGGACAGTGTCTGGCTCCCTGGTCTCTGAAACCGTGCAGAGAAAGGTCCTCGGAGATTCTGCCTCACGTGTTGGGGGGTCACCTTTAGTAGGGACCCCAGCCTGGTGAGCACGGCCACTCTTGGCCGTGGTTGGCTCTGCTGCTCCCTGACGGAGGATCCACTGGACTCCTGCCTCCCAAGGCTGAAGAATAAGCTCTGAAAGCCATCTCACCCGCTCCTTGGCCGTGCTGTGTGACCTAGGGTCGGTGGCTGCCTCTCTCTGAGCCTCCCTTTCCTCTCCGAGCTCAGCAGTCACCATGGCTGACGGTCAGATGCCTTTCTCCTGCCACTACCCAAGCCGCCTGCGCCGAGACCCCTTCCGGGACTCGCCCCTCTCCTCCCGCCTGCTGGACGATGGCTTTGGCATGGACCCCTTCCCAGACGACTTGACCGCTTCTTGGCCCGACTGGGCTCTGCCGCGCCTCTCCTCTGCCTGGCCGGGGACCCTGAGGTCGGGCATGGTGCCCCGAGGGCCCACGGCCGCGGCCAGGTTTGGGGTACCCGCCGAGGGCAGGGGCCCCCCACCCTTCCCCGGGGAGCCCTGGAAGGTTTGCGTCAATGTGCACAGCTTCAAGCCCGAGGAGTTGACGGTGAAGACCAAGGATGGGTACGTGGAGGTCTCAGGTGAGTGAGGGGACCAGCCCGGGAGGGGAGGGCTGGGCTGGCTAGGGGACAGTCAGTGACATCTTGACACAGGTGACTTCAGGGCTGGAGAATGCAGCCCCAGATGCTATCTGCATGGAAAAGCTCTCTCCCCGGGCCCAGGGGCAGACTGAACCTGACCTGGCCCCTGGGGCCTCTGGGTGCCACTCAATCTGAGCACAGGCAGGAGAACAGGGCAGGTCAGACACCACTTAACATAAAGAGCAGACTCAACAGAATAAAGAGGAACTGGAGTAAGATGCCCCAGCATGCCACACAGGGCCGAGAAGGACCATTTTAATGCCAAGTACAAAAATATTGATGCCCAGCCTGGGTTTCCAGGGAGTCACCTCCCCTGTCCCAGAGAAGGAAACTGGGTTCAGCAGGCCTCAGGGTGACGCTGGCTGGTGAGCCCCACGGAGCCGGGCGCAGGCTTAGCACCTGCTTCACCAGCAACATCTCCGACTGCACAAGGATCTGGGCTAGAAATATTCTTACCTTTCTTGCCCCCAAAGAACCCTCCCTCCAGCCCAGGGGCAGCAGGAGCCGGGTGTCCATCCCATTTTGCAGCTGAGGTGTCTGAGGCCCAGGCGGGCCCTGTTCAAGGTCGCGCCATGAGTCAGCAGTGGAGCCTGGGCCTGTCCCCGATGCTGGGCCCAGGGCTCTGGCTGGCACATCCCCAGCCTGGGAGTGGGGACCGGCTGGGGGCAGAGACAGGAGGAGCCGGTAAGGGCCCTGCCCCTGTTCATGCTCCATTAAAAAGAGCCAGTTCCTGGCAGAGGCCTCTCAGCCAAAAAATCAATACCGGGCAGGGACAAGCCCTGGCAGAGCTCAGGGGGAGATCCAGAGCTGCTCCAGGCAGAACTATAAGCACCGAGGCTGCGAGGCTGCGGAGGCCCAGGGTGTGGTGGGCCCCAGCCACGTGCTGCTGGTGGGGTGGGGGGATCAGCGGGGCTCCCTGGGCTGGCCTGGCCCTGGGGGAGACTGGCTGTGGCCCTGGATCCTGTGCAGGACGTGCAGATGACTTCACTTCTTTGCATCTCTCTCTCCTTATCTGGAAATCTGTGTTCAAACAGCTGAGGATTGCCGTGACGCTCCAGTGTGCCCCTACCTGGCGCCTGGAATGCAGGTAGCCCGGTGGCTGTGACGACATTGTGGTGGAACAATAGCGTGTGTGGTGCCTGGCAAGGTCCCAAGAAACAGGGAGGGATAGATGGCATTTGAGACCCGGATTCCAATCCCAGTTCATTGACGGGATGGATGGGGGCTGCAAAGTCCTCCCCACTCTGAGCCTCAGTTTCCCCAGCTGGGGACCGGGATCCTAGTTATCAGTGCCCCACGAGGCTCCAGGACGATTTCATGTCTGTGGAAAACACATGACGGTAGATGCGTGTCTACAAACTGGAGCTAATAATAGTGCTGTGCAGGGCCATTCTTCTCGCCCCTCCTGCTGGTTTTCATTACATTTCATTCTGGGAGCTTCTGTCCGTCCCCACACCTGGATGGGGCGTGGGAGAGGAGGAGCCCATGACTTAACTTTTTTGTAGGGTTTTTCCCTTAATCCTCCTTTGAAGGTGCTTTTCAGCCGGCGGGATCTGACAGTCCCAGGCCGAGACCCCAGCTAAGAACCAGACTCCTCTAGGGTCCTTAAGGGCATCTGGAGGGCTCAATTCCTCCATCTATAAAATGGGTCCACTGGAGCTTCAATAAGAAGCCAGTTCGATGTGCAATTAGTGACCTCAGCTAGATTAATCCCCTGAGAGCACAGGCCAGATCTTTCCTAAAGAGGTTTTAAAAGTAGGATTGATAATGAGGGGCTCAAAGTAAAAGCCAATTTCAGCCCTGCATGGTGAATCATGCCTGTAATCCCAGCCACTGGGGAGGCTGAGGCAGGAGGATTGCAAGTTGGAGGCCAGCCTCAACAAACTTAGACCCTGTCTAGAAATGCAATTTCAGAAAAGGGCTGAAATTTTCAGCTCAGGGGTAGAGCACTCTTGGCTTGAATCTCCAGCTGTACTGGGCCCTCTGCT